CCCCTTACATCCTGTGCAAGGTGAAGCGCAGAAGGCTTACAGTGCTCCAACTGGGAAGCATGCGGGAGTTCATGCTTGCCTTTATGACCTGGGCGTATCCAGGGCGTAAAAAGGCCTGAAGGGTCAGCGGGTTTTGTCAGCGTTACATAAAGTGACAATGATAAGTGTGTTGGGGGAAAAAATTTCTGGTATAATTTATCTGTTTATGGCAAAAGGTGGCAGGTCCTCAATAATGTCAAGTGCCAGGCCTGTCACTAGGAGGTGAGGGATATCTGTCAGGGAGGGTAGGTGCCACTCTAGGGGGGAGGTCATAGGGCAAATGAGGATGTGGTGAAAGAGGGTGTGGAGTCTGTTGACCACAAAGCTTGGCAAAACAGTGGCCAGGCTCAGGGTTGCTAATGTAGTAGGCGGAGAAGTGTGGGGGTGGAGGTGATAAGTGGTGCGGTGGGGACAGGTGGCTATACAGGTGGAGGGAGTGCACTGGCGTTACTGACAACATTGAGGGACACACACCTTTTAGTGTTATTATAGTGTTTGTCGACATGTCGGTAAAGGTGTGCCTGGGGGTGGTGTCCCTCAGGTCCAGGTAGCCCTGGTGGAGACAGCCCAGACACGGGAGCAGGCGAGGCTTGTGTTGGGTGGTGACAGGTTGAGGCACCAAGTTGTGAGGATGAGGCAGGACTTCTGCTCAGGGCAGCAGCAGGACACCAGGCAGCCTGGTAGGCGCCATCAGTAGTGGGATGTCGGCGGTGGAGTAGCTGCAGCAGGGGGCTCAGGGGGGACCAACAGCCAAAGCCAAACCAAGGAGAGGGAGTGACTGGGTGGCAGCAGAGGGCAGGAGTAGGTTGGAGATGGTGGGTACAGAGTGTAGCGAAGAGTTGTCTAACACGGTTGGTACCCTCAGTAGTGGGATATGATCTAGGCCGCGTCACTGGCGGGGGGTTGGGGCACCAGGAGCACAAGGCCCGACAGCCCCAGAGTAGAGACGAGGAGGAGGCCCAGTAGTAGCTGGAGTGAGGAGACGGCTGGGACTGCTGTGGTTGTACCCAGAATGAGGGGCAGGCAGAGGCAGTTAAGGAAGAAGGCGTTGCTGGAGACACAGGGCACACAGGGGGTGTGGCCCGGAAGACTGGGGGGGGCGTTGTGGTAGACTTGGCCTTCAGGGGAGGCTTTTCCCCTGGTACAGACGGGGCGATTGGGGGTATTGCCGAGTCAGCATTGTGCCGCCACCAAAGTTACAACATCTGGGATTAATTACATAGCCCACCCCACCACTATTAAGGTATCTTTTGATTTTCTGGGCATGGTGGCGCAGAGTTGTGGTTGCGAACAGAAGCGACATCTCGGCCGGGATCACGACGACAGCAGGCAGAAGTTGTGGACCCCAATGAGAACAGACAACACAAAATGCAGGCTCAGGATGATGTGGCCCTGCATACAGTGTGGGTAAGAGTGGAAGCAACGCAGGTTGGCAAATTCTTCCCTTCCACTTGACAATGATAGCGGGTTGTGTGGAACCTCTGGTAATGGCGACGTATACTCAGTATATACCAGAGTTAAAGTCACGCGCATCTTCGATGTCAGCGTATAAGGGGGAAACGTTTCACCAGGGATGTGGCAAACATTCATCCGCGTCTACAGGGGGAGGCAGCAGGACGACCCTGTCAAAGCCAACAGCATCAAGTGTTTATAGGCCTCAGGAGTCTGGATTTGATAAAGTTCCGGTTCTTACCTTGTCGGAATTAATGCTGAAACCATGCTGTCTGCAGTACTTCATCATCCAATTAAAGCGTCTCTACAGTTTTCAGAGAGAGTCCTTGGGGAAGTTGAGATTCAGCTTATTTGCTTGTTTGGCAGAGGGCAGGGCGATAGGGTCCATGGCATTGGTGTTTCCACTGTGGTTATGCCTCAGAAACATTACCGCTACTATCATAATCACTGGGCCCGACCCCTAGCGTGCTGATCCAGTAAGGACCAGGCGAGTTGGTACGGCATCAGTATCAGAGATGTCTGCGTCTCGGGCCAGCTGAGGGGACCTTCGTGGGACGATCGGGAAGTCAAGAGCACCTATGGGTACGTGTGTTCCCTTGTGTGGTCACGCCACGACTGTCGAGGCGAATGAGTGTACTCGGGAGGGAGAGAGGTCGAGGGGATATAGAGGTGATAACGCAGGATGTCAGCAGTGGACGGGCCAGTGTTGAGAGAGGAGGAGGAGAGGTAATAGGGGCAGGCCGGCACAGGAGGGTGTTAAGATGTGAGTTCAGTGAGCGCGACAGGGGAGTCGGTTTCTACTTCGAAGTTGTTACCAAGGATGGCATTGAGAGCAGTAATTCGATCGCAGACGGGAAGCAGGATCGGTTCACGCTGCATGACTTCTATTCTGGTGGTCATAGGGCAGCCGGATGAGTCTCATCGCTCTGTTTGATTTTCTCTGCTTTGTTTCTCGCGCTGGGAGGCAACTACAAGGACAGGAGAGGCATAATCTATGACAGCTCTGACGATGGCAATGTACATGAGACGTAGGACCCTGACAGAGGCTCCTTTGAGGCCGTGGGTAAGGGACTGGAGGCCTCGTTCGTTGGCGGCACTGTGTGCATGTATGATTTTTTTTTATTGGGCACTCCCCTACATCCTTGTGTAAGGTGAAGCGCAGAAGCGTTTACAGCGCCCAACAGGGAAGCATGCTAAGTTCATGCTTGCCTTTATGTCTCATGAGTTAAGGGCGTAGAAGCCTGAAGAGTCAATGGTTTATTTCTAAGCAAGCTATTGGAAGCTCCAACAACTTGTCCCTGAAAACGAATTCACAATTTTTTGATTTACAGCAGGTACCTACTTATCTTCAGGTGATCCAGGTATAGTCATAGTCATAAGTTACGCTTCGTTACATAAACTGTTTCACGACAAATACACGGAACTAAACTGAGGCACAACACTGACATTCTACTTCATAAGGAGGAAGTAGCGTCTCCAAGGCTGTACTGTAGGTAGGAAGGGGTAGGTCGGGAAGGGGGCTCGGCCTGCCTTCGAGTGATGACTTGACAGATACATAGCAGATCGAGATGTGTGTGTGTGTGTGTGTGTGTGTAGAGACATGGATGAGCCCCTATTAAAAAGCTGTTAACTACCCGGGAAATAGATGAGCAGTTGGATACACAGGCCTGACATTGGACCAGAGTAAAAATATAAGATCATTAATAAGCAATAATAAATGAAAGTTGAACTGTGGTGGAAGTAAAGGACTGAGGTGACTTATCAACACTGGCAATATGTGAAAACTCTTGTATGATTTTTTTTTTCGAGAAAGATGTGAAAGAAGATTAGAGGTGGAGGAAGGAAGTTATAGATCGGAAATTGAAGAAATTTGGGAGGAGGTAAGAGAGGGCGGGCTGTAGCTTAGGAAGGAGGAGGAGGGAGGAGGCCTAAGGGGAGGAGGAGTGGGTTAATGGGAGGTGGCGGGAGAGAAGTAAGGATACATCTCGTTTTCTATGAGGTCCTCAGATGGTAATACTCTACGAGGGGTTATCTAAATCATTCATTACACATCATCTACTCTACAAGATAAGAGACTACTGTGATCTCATAAGTCAGTGAATAGGTTGAGAAAAAAATAGCAGAGGAACCATGGCGTTGTTTAAATAACCTTCGTTCGGTGTTAGTGGCAGAAGCATAAACGCCACCCCGCTGCCTGACGTGTGACCAACCTTAACTTGCACATTAGCTGAAAAAAGATCTTAAAATATTTCCTTTAGGTGTTGTCAATCTTGTACAGTGACATTGGTATAATGTGTTACTGTTTGTCATTGTACACCACGACTGTCTGTGTATATTGTTTGTATACCTACACTGCCTGTGAATAATGTCTGTATACCTACACTGTCTGTGTATATTGTCTGTATACCTACACTGTCTGTGTATATTGCCTGTATACCTGCACTGTCTGTGTATATTACATGTATACCTACACTGTCTGTGTATATTTGGTATTCCCTGCTTTACGTACACTGACTTTGTAATTTTTACTTACAGTGTCACTATACACAATGATCCACTGTGAACTTGTATCGTTTTCAAATGAAAGTCAGCAGAACTTCCGGTGAGTGAGGTGGGTGGTAAGTAATCGGGTCACAGCCTCAGTGTTCGCTGGCAGCGTTTGCTTACTGACAGATTCATGCCGTGCGTCAGGCAAGCTAGTGTGTGTACCAGTAGGCCAGACTCGCTGATGAGGGCCACTCTGATTCAGTTTGCACGAGTCTCGCTTGACATGACCCTCACGTCCCAGGAGTAAAAGGCAGGTGGTCACATAGGTCCAGGTCAAAGGTCACTTGGATCACTAGAGGAAGGGGGTGGGAACTGTCACCATTTTAATTCACGACTTGTTTTAGTGGTATTTTTTCTCTATGTAAAGTTGAGTGTGTTGACTTGCCGTGGAAAAAGAGAAAAATGAAGGGAAGAGAGATTTATTATTATTATTATTATTATTATTATTATTATTATTATTATTATCACGTTATCATAATTCTTATCATTATCTACTACTGTTATTACACTCATGAACCTCCTTACCATCATAATAATCAGTAAGCAACACTGTGGTATAACATATTCTTCACTCAACAAACATAATAAGATACCCAATTGAGCTTACCTGGTGCCTATCTCACCTACCTGGTGCCTATCTCACCTACCTGGTGCCTACATCACCTACCTGGTGCCTATCTCACCTACCTGGGCCTATCCACCTACCTGGTGCCCATTCCACCTACCTGGTGCCTATCTCACCTACCTGGTGCTTACCTCACCTACCTGGTGCCTACATCACCACCTGGTGCTTACTCCCCACCTACCTGGTGCCCTACATCACCTACCTGGTGCCCATCTCACCTACCTGGTGCCTATCTCACCCACCTGGTGCCTACCTCACCTACCTGGTGCCTACATCACCTACCTGGTGCCACCTCACCTACCTGGTGCCCACATCACCATCTGGTGCCTACATCACCTACCTGGTGCCCATCTCACCTACCTGGTATACATCATCTACCTGGTGCCTATCTCACCTACCTGGTGCCTACATCACCTACCTGGTGCCCATCTCACCTACCACTGGTGCCTATCTCACCTACTCTGGTGCCCACACCTACCTGGTGCTCACCACCGCTCACCCACCTGGTGCCATCACCCACCTCCCACACCTGGTGCCTACATCACCACTGGTGCTTAACTACCTGGTGCCTCATCACCTACCTGGGCCTACATCACCCACCCCCTACCTGGTGCCATCACTACCTGGCCTATCTCAGCCTACATCACCCACCTGCTCCATCCCACCCACCTGGTGCCTACATCACCTACCTGGTGCCCATCTCACCTACCTGGTGCCTACATCACCACCTGGTGCCTACATCTCACCTACCTGGTGCCTATCTCACCTACCTGCGCCATCCACCACCTGCTCATACCACGACCCCCACTGTTTGGGCTACACCTGGTGCCTCATCACCTACTTGCATCACCCACCTGGTCATCACGCCCATCTCACCTACCTGGTGCATACATCATCTACCTGGTGCCCATCTCACCTACCTGGTGCCTACATCACCTTTGTTCCTCCACCTGGTGCCCCATCTCACCTACCTGGTGCCACATCACCCACCCAGCCCATCTCACCCCACCTGGTGCCTACACACCCACCTGGTGCCTATCTCACCTCCTGCATACATCATCCACCGCCCATCTCACCTCCTGCCTACATCACCACTTGGTGCCCATCTCACCTACCTGGTATACATCATCTACCTGGGCCCATCTCACCTACCTGGCACCATCATCTACCTGGTCCACCACCATCATCACCTACCTGGTGCCATCACCCACTCGGTACACCCACCACCTGGTGCCTAATCACCCACCTGGTGCCCATCCCCACCTGCCTGGTGCCTATCTCACCCACCTGGTGCCTACATCACTTACCTGGTGCCCACCCTCGGTGCCTACTCACCACCTGGCCCATCCACCACCGCCCACCCACCTGGTGCCCACATCACCTACCTGGCGCCCACCACCTGGCGCCTACCACCTACCCGCCTACATCACTTCACCTGGTGCCTATCTCACCCACCTGCCCATCACTGCCACTCACCTACCTGGTGCCTACATCACCCACCTGGTGCACACACCCACCTGGTGCCACCACCTACCTGGTGCCTACATCACCTACCTGGTGCCCATCTCACCCACCTGGTGCCTACATCACCACCTAGCCTGCATCACCACCTGGTGCCCATCTCACCCACTGGTGCCTATCTCACCTACCTGGTGCCTATATCACCTACCTGGTGCCATCACCCACCTGGTGCCCACCTCACCTACCTGGTGCCTACATCACCTACCGGTGCCTATCTCACCTACCTGGTGCCACATCCCTACCTGGTGCCTATCTCACCTACCTGGTACCTATCTCCTTACCTGGTGCCTACATCACCCACCTGGTGCCTACTCTCCCTTACCTGGTGCCTACATCACCTACCTGGTGCCTATCTCACTTACCTGATGCCTATCTCAACTACCTGGTGCCTACCTCCCACTTACCTCGTGCCTATCTCACCTACCTGGTGCCTATATCACTTACCTGGTGCCCATCTCACCCACCTGGTGTGCCTATCACCTACCTGGTGCCACCTCCTTACCTGGTGCCTATCTCACCTACCTGGTGCCTATATCACTACCTGATGCCTCACCTACCTGTGCCCTACCCACTTACCCTGTGCCTATCACCCACCTGGTGTGCCATCTCATACCTGGTGTACCTGGTGCCCACCTCCCCTGGTGCCTCCCACTACCTGGTACCTATCTCACCTGTCTGGTGCCTATCTCACCTGTCTGGTACCTATCTCACCTGCCTGGTGCCTACCTCACCTGTACAAGATGCACAACCCTGGAATGTATGTATGTATGTATGTATGGTTTATTTTTAATTTTATTTATTAATTATCATTATTTTAAGGATTGTGAACCATTCCATTTCTATAGTCCGGTTAGTTTTCTCGAACTAGGAGCCTCGTGAAGGTTATCGACATAACAATAAATTAATAACAGAGAAGGAAATAATAAATAAATAAATAATGAATAACTTGGTGTCGGAAGTGCAGCGACAGGGAGGTAGTAGCGTCTGGCAACCGATGGATCCAGCTAGTCTCTCACTAGTTTTACGGAGGGAGGGTAGACTAAGGTGTTTATCGTCAAGAAACCCGTGATAGCTTGTTTGTGACTGGCTTGTGCGCAGTACATTGGATAAAAGTGATACCATGAATTGACGTGGATTAACCTGCTTGTGATTTACCAGAAGGAAAATCGTTAAATATGGAAAACTATAGCAGTTTCGTGTCGAAAATTTTGGCAACTGACTGAGCGGGTGACTGTGGTGGTAGGGAGGTGGCGTTGGGGTTTGTTGGTTGTGGGGATTGGGGGCGGAGGGGGGTGTATTGTTGCTCACAGTCGTTCACTAAATTTTCTCTTGAAGCATGTGTTTAACTATAAAGTATTTCTCATGTGATTTAAAATTACTCTAGCTTTTCTCCAAATAACAGAACCTGAAAACTTTTGAGTATGGAAAAGAAAAAGAAGCGAGTGAAACGCATTTATATAAAGCACTGAGGGAAGTGGTAACGGCTAGCTGCGTGACAACCCAGCCTTACTAACACCAACGTGAGGGCGGCGACTCCTGCCATACACCACTCCAACTCTACTGAAAGAATAATACATAATAATACAACATGAATAGTAATGGTAAGTTTATCATAATAATTTTCTTGGTATTTAATGAACACAAGGAAAAAGAACACGAAGTTCCCAAGCGCTTTCGTGTGATTCACATCTTCAGGGGTGAGTACAGACTAAGGAGAAGCACATAACAAGGTATATACTATATACAGAAGAGGGTGAGATCAAGTCCACAATGGTCAGGTATTAGGTAATGACCCTACTAATCTTCAAAAAGCACCGCAGCAGTCAGGTCAGAGGGTAAGATGACCCAACCTTCTCACCTGGTTACAAATCTTCTTAATTACGAAATTATCCAGTTTGTACATACCATTACTCAAATTCATATACTTCTCCTTAGTCTGTACTCACCCCTGAAGATGTGAATTACACGAAAGCGCTTGGGAACTTCGTGTTTTCTTTTTCCTTGTGGTTATCAGCATATACCTGGATCACGCGCACCTATATATATATATATATATATATATATATATATATATATATATATATATATATATATATATATATATATATATATATATATATATATATCTTGATAAAATCACACGGGAAAAGGGAAACAACGGAGCACCTTAGATTTCGTCTTTATTCAAGACATCTTCAGAGGCAACCCACGGTCCACGATTGTGAACGCTACCTCAGACCATTAGATTGTTTACCAAATCCGGCTCGTGTTTCGAAGCCGGATTTGGTAAAACGTTGCTCTGATCACTTAAGAGGCACGGGTGGTCCCCATTTGAGGTTCACGGCGCCATAAACGCGTTGAACAGGCTTTGTGTGAAATATAACAGAGTCTAGGACTGCTTTTAGTGTCCTGGTGGCCCAGAGGTAGCGTTCCCCGGTCACAATTATAAGCCCTTGGGTTCGAATCCTGGCTGGGTGAGATGTTGATTATATGTAGAAGTCCGCCTGCTTTATTGGGCTAATGAAATATATATGGATCCTCGTGTTTCGAAGCCGGATTTGGTAAAACGTTACTCTGACAACCTAAGTGATACGGGTAGTCCCCATTTGAGGTTCACGGCGCCATAAGCTCGTTGAACAGGCTTTGTGTGAAATATAACAGAACCTAGGACTGATTTTAGTATCCTGGTGGTCTAGAGGTAGCGTTCCCCGGTCACAGTCGTGGGCCGTGGGTTCGAATCCTGGGGGGGTGAGGTGTTGATTATATATATATATATATATATATATATATATATATATATATATATATAGAGAGAGAGAGAGAGAGAGAGAGAGAGAATTGCTTGCCTACCCATAACAAACTGTATTAACGCACTGAAATTGGACACAGTTTTGAACAGGGGCTTAGACAGGCTTGATGTTCAATGAAGTTACATGATCAGTGAGGCTACTTGCGGTGTAATGGTCAGCATGATCGCCTCGCAAGCGAGTGGACTTGAGTTCGATTCCCGGGCAGGGTGAAACAGGGCAAGTTTCTTTACGCCATTTGCCTCTGTCGACCCAGCAGTAATTGGGGACCTGGATGTTAATCAATTTGTAGATCGTGTTCCAGGGTAATGGTTAGTCAGTGCAGCTGGTGAGTTGTCCGGTCTTTTCGGACTATTCCTTGACACTGGGTCATGCAACTTGTTAACTTAGGGTGTGGGTGTTGTGTTGGCGACAGCTTCTACATAAGAACATAAGAATGGAGGAAACTGCAGCAGGCCTATTGACCCATACTGGGCAGTCCCATTTACACCCAACCCCTATTGCTCATACATCTATCCAACCTATGCTTGAAGCTATCCTGTGTATTCGAGTTAATGATGATATTTGGTAACTTGTTCCACTCGTCCACTACTCTATTTCCAAACCAATGTTTACTTATTTCCCTCCTAAATCTAAATTTGTCTAATTTGAAACCATTGTTATGAGTTCGCTCCTGGTTGGATAGTTTGAGTACCTTAGTAATGTCCCCTTTGTTCAGCCCTGACTTACATTTATACACCTCTATCATATCGCCCCTCACTCTATGTCTCTCGAGGGAGTGCAAATTATGATGCTTTAGCCTGTCTCTGTACTCAAGGTTCCTAATGCCCGGGATTAGTCTTGTCATTCTCCTCTGAATTCTTTCCAAGGATTTTATATCCATTCTGTAATACCGTGACCAGAATTGAACTGCGTAATGCAAGTGAGGTCTCACAAGCGCAACATATAGTTTTAAGATGACCTTGCTAGTCTTGTAACTAACACTCCTTTGTATGAACCCAAGTACTTTATTAGCCTTGTTTCGAGCAAATGCACATTGTTTACTTGGCTTAAGATTCCTACTTATCATTACTCCTAAATCTTTCTTGCAGTCGGATTTCTCAATAACATCGTTGTTCATCTGATATCCGGTTTCCCCGTTTACATCTCCTATACTGAGTACTTTACATTTGTCCACATTGAATTTCATCTGCCATTTTTCAGACCATTCGAAAATATTTTTTAGATCTCCGTGTAGTTTTGTGGAGTCCTCGTTAGATTTAATTACATGCCCTATTTTAGTGTCATCAGCAAATTTTACTTATGTTGCTGTCTATGCCGATATCTATGTCGTTTATGTACATAATAAATAACAATGGTCCGAGTACTGCGCCTTGGGGAACTCCACTAGTGACGTTGCTCCAATGGGATTTAGTGCCGTTAATGCTCACTTGCTGTTTCCTGTCCTGTAACCACGCCCTAATCCATTTTAGAATATCACCTTTAATGCCATGAGCCTCCACTTTTCTTATTAGTCTTTCATGGGGGACTCTGTCGAAGGCTTTGCTAAAGTCGAGATATACCACATCATAATTGTGCCCCTCGTCCACTGATTCGAAAACAGATGAAAAGAATGTTAATGGATTTGTTAGACATGAACGCCCGCTTGTGAAGCCATGTTGGGAATCATTGATCACCCTGTGCTTCTCCAGGTGATTTCGAATAGAGTTTGAAATGATTGTTTCCAGTAATTTGCCTGCAATTGATGTTAGACTGATTGGACGGTAGTTACAGGATAGTGATCTATCTCCCTTCTTGAAAATCGGTATTACATTCGCTATCTTCCAGGATTCTGGTACTACACCCGTTTTTAAGGACATGTTAAACAACTTTGCTAAGGGCATACTAAGCTCTTCCTTACATTCCTTTAATACTCCGGCAAATATCTCATCGGGACCAGGTGACTTATTAGGCTTTAATTTGTCTAGTTGCTTACTAACATCGTGACTAGTCACTACTATCTCTCTTAATTTTTTCGTCACTATCTCTGTATAGAGTCGGTGCCTTGGGTATCATGTTTAAATTTTCGGTGGTAAAAACTGTTGAAAAATATTTATTCAGATTATTGCTCATTTCTCTGTCGTTATCAGTTAGCTCTCTGGTATCTGACTGTATTGGTCCAATCTTTTCTCATGTTTTAGTTTGATACATTTTATAGAATCCCTTGGGGCTTGACTTTGCCTCCCTTGCTATCTTCAGTTCATTATTCCTCTTTGCTTTTCTTATCTCGGTCTTAACCCTACCGGTCAATACCTTATAATAATCTTGGAGGTAGACTTCACCACGATTTATTCTCCTACCTATAGCCTTCCTTTGTCCAATAATGTTCTTTAAATAATTATTTATCCATTTAGGGTCATTGTTGTCTGATCTGAGTTTTCTGTATGGTATGTTCTGCCTTTGTGCATTAAGTAACTCAATATTTAAATTGTTGTGGAACTCAGCAACCTCAGATCTCCTTCTCAGGTCATCCCCAACCGCAACCGTCAGGTCTCCAGGGAAGGTGAGGTCGCCCTCTGCTGGTACATTGTGTGAGGTTATGTAATTCACCCCCAAGCATGATACCCCTTCTCTCTGTTGCCTCTTCAAACTATCAAAGTTTGCCTTTCTGAAATCTGGGACTTAAGTGGAATTTTCCTTGCGTCTGCTCTGAAATTCTAACTGGAATCTAATTTCTTTGTGATCGCTGTTAGAAAGTTCGTTCTCTACCTCGACATTACTAATGAGGTTTTCTCTGTTTGACAGAACTAAATCGAGTATATTATTACCCCGGGTGGGTTCGGTTATATGTTGTTTTAGGAAACAGTCCTGGATTGTTTCAAGAAAATCCTCTGATTCTGAGTTACCCGTAAGGTCAATCCAATCTGTTTGGCTAAAGATAAAGTCGCCTACTATACAGACTTTGCTATGAATGGAAGCCCTGCGCATTTCATCCCAAATAAGTCGCTCATTAACTCTATCAAGATTAGGAGGTCTACGTATATATTACTCCTGTGATAAATTTTTCCCTACCATCGATTACTTCTATCCAAATTGTTTTTGTATTCCGCTCTGTTTTTATTTCCTTATTTATTTCACACTTCAGATTATCCCTGACATAGATTGCTACTCCGCCTCCTTTCCTAATCTGCCTATCGGTATGGAATAATTTGTAACCTGCAATTTGGTATTCGACAGGTAACTCACGTGAGTCTACAATAGGTTTATCCATGTTTCGGTGAATGCTATTATATCGATTTTTTCAGTACATACCAACGCCCTGATTTCATCCATTTTGTTTCTCATACTTCTACTGTTAGCATAGTAGACATTTAAGTTAGTCGTGTTTTGAGTCCTCTCTTTGTCACGTTTAGGTTTTAACTCCCTGCCTAATTTAGTTTTGTCATAACTCCTAGCACTATTTCCCTGTAACCTTTCATTTGTACACCCGCTCCCACTGCAGTCTCCTGCACCCCTGTGCTCACATGTTCTCTTAGCAGTTTAAAGACTTCGACAACTTTTGAACTGCCCTCTTGAGAGAGCCAGCCAGGGTTGCCACCCCATCCCTAGCATAAAGGTCCCTTCTGCCGTAGAAGTTGTCCCAGTTGTCAATGAATGGGACTGATATTGACTTGCAATATCTGTCAAGACGACCGTTGACTCCAACTGCCCTTGACAACCATTCATTGCCAACTCTCCTAGGCAGGACACCACATAATTATGATAGGGATCCCTCCCTTCGACCTAATGCGTTATATAGCTGTCTTGAACTTATCAAGAAGCTCCTCACTCCTACACCGGCCAATATCATTGCCTCCTGCACTAAGGCAGATAATGGGTTTGTTTCCATTACCAGACAAGATATTGTCCATCCTGTCAACTATATCCCCCACCCCAGCTCCTGGCAAGCACACCCTCATCCTATTTTTATTTTTACCACAAAAAGCTCTTTCCAGGTACCGTACCTGGGAATCGCCAACAATTAAGGTTTCGTACCTTCCTTGTCAGCCTTGTCCCTGACTATGCTAACGTCCAATTCGTCTATCAAAGGACTGAAAGAGTTGGTACACTTAGCTGTTGTTGTCGTATCCTTGGTGTCTTTTCTCACCACCAGTTTGGTCGTCCCTCTCCTCACAACCTTCCATTCGCGTGAGTTTTCGTCAGACACGGGCTCTCCTTGTCTCATTCCTTCCTCCATCCTCGCTATCACTTCCTTTAGTTTCAAGATTTCTTCCTTGGCCCTCTCTAACTCGGCCCAGTAGAACTAGCCATTACTGACAATTAATCCCCGGGAGCACAGCCTGCCGTGATCTTTCCTCAAGTGAGCTCAGTACACAACTGAGGTCAGTACCTGAAACAAATTCACGCCTAGGTGGCCCTTAGTCCGGCCATCTTCGTTACACGAGGGGCAACCATTGTTATTATATGAACAATGTTAAGGAATAATTGGAAGGGAAAGAAAACTTGGTTAAAATATCAGGTTGAGTCGCTATCGTCTGTTCGGTAGAAATGACTTTGCTAGCGTAGCCAATGTTGTCTCTGAATATATTATTTGAATCTTGATTTGAATTTCTATTGGAAAGCTTTCCTCCCTTTTTCGTCTTTTCTGAAACTCACCATTTTCGACGTAGGTGTTGTTCAGATATTTCCACCACGACAGTGTTCAACTCTCTCTCTCTCTCTCTCTCTCTCTCTCTCTCTCTCTCTCTCTCTCTCTCTCTCTCTCTCCAGGAATATATTCTGGTCTTGTTACTATCACTAAAGGTCCTCAGAACGTATCTCCCCTCTTCCACATCCTCCCTCTACTCTTCTTCCTTTTCCCCCTCTTTTACCCCCCCTTCCCTCTACTCTTCCTCCTCTTCCACTCTTCTATTCCCTCCCTCTTCTCTTCTTCCTTCTTCTCATCCACTCCCTCCCTCTTCTCTTCCTCCTCTCCCTTCAACTCCTCCCTCTTCTCTTCCTCCTTCTTCCCCTCTTCCATCTCCTCCTTTTCTCCCCCTCCTCCTTCCACTCTTCTACCCCTCCTCTTCTTCCACCTTCTCCCCTTTTCAACTCCTCCCTCTTCTCTTCCTCCTTCTCCTTTCTACCCCCCTCCTCCCTTCCTATACCCCCCTTCGCTTCCTCCTCCCTCAAAACGCCAATTTCAACAAAAGTGGTGGTCGAATATTTCATGGCATTAGAACGTTCCCTTTACACGTTCGAAAATCCCGAAGCCTTATCTCTCTCTCCCTCCATCCTGAAGCCGTATCTCTCTCCCCTTCCTGTCTCTCTAGGCATTCAGAAGTCTCTCTCTCTCACTCTCTCTAATTTCAGTAGTGGTGTTGATATTTAAATCTTTCACGCGACTTACCGAGACATCTTGACGTATTAGACTGTTGCTTTAACGGTTCACAAAATGTCTAGTCCTGTTGTTCTATAAAAGCCTCCGGACGTCTCTCTTGTATATTGTTCTTGTTTCATTACTGCTGTTCCTTGTTATATTGTTCCTTGCTGTTGCTCTTTGCTATTATTACTTACTGCTGTTTCTTGCTGTTGTTCCTTGCTATTATTCCTTGCTATTGTTCCTTGCTATTGTTCTTTACTGCTGTTTCTTGCTGTTGTTCCTAGCTATTATTCCTTACTTTTGTTTCTTGCTATTGTTCCTTGCTATTGTTCCTTGCTGTTTTTTTCCTTGCTATTATTCCTCACTGCTGTTTCTTGCTGCTGTTCCTTGCTGTTGTTCCTTGCTATTGTTCCTTGCTATTATTCCTTTCTGCGCTTTCTTGCTGTTGTTCCTTGCTGTTGTTCCTTACTGTTGTTTCTTGCTGTTGTTCCTTGCTGCTGTTTCATGCTGTTGTTCCTTGCTGTTGTTCCTTGTTGTTGTTCCTTGGTTTTATTCCTTACTGCTGTTTCTTGTTGTTGTTCCTTGCTATTGTTCCTTGCTGTTGTTCCTTGCTATTGTTTCTTGCTATTGTTCCTTACTGCTGCCCCTTGCTGTTCCTTGCTATTATTCCTTACTGCTGTTTCTTGCTTTTCTTCCTTGCTATTGTTCCTGCTATTGTTCCTTACTGCTGTTCCATGCTGTTCCCTGCTATTATTCCTTACTGCTGTTTCTTGCTGTTGTTCCTTGCTATTGTTTCTTGCTGCTGTTTATTGCTGTTGTTTCTTGCTGTTCCTTACTGCTGTTTCTTGCTGTTGTTCCTTACTGCTGTTTCTTGCTATTATTCCTTACTACTGTTTTTTGCTGTTGTTCCTTGCTGTTCCTTACTGCTGTTTCTTGCTGTTGTTCCTTGCTGTTGTTTCATGCTGTTGAGAACGCCAATGTTAGTAGAGACGTTAGTAAGAATATTAAACGATAGTCCAATGTGTTATGAGGTGGTGAAATGATCCTTCAACAGCTTACAAAATGTGTAGATATTTTCCAAGTGTAATAAAAACTTTCTGATGCTTTTCTTGTTACTGTTTGCTGCTGTTAACGTCGTCATTTTCACCAGAGACGCTGTTAAAATTCCCACACGGGGTATTTTAAGATAGTGATGAAATGCTCCTTTTTTGCAGTTGAGAAAATGCCCAGATTTTCTCCTAATTCATAAATTCATTCAGACGTCTCTCTCTCTCTCTCTCTCGCTGTTGCTTCATGTTGTTGAAGTTGCTGCTTTCAATAGAGGAAGTTGTGTGTTTTCCACCTCGCTATCCCTCAAGCGTCCCTCAGGTAAACAATAACAAGGCGGCCATGAATCACCTCTGACAGCGTTATGACAAAATAATTCACGCCCGGACACATTATTGAAATTTAAGTAACAAATGGCGTAGAGCTCCTTCAGAAGGTTATAGCTCCTCCAGAAGGGATATTCTTAACAAGGTCAAATAAGATTCATGACTGTGTGTGAGTGTGTGTGTGAAGGTTGTTTCGCTTCTCTTGTGTTGAAGTTAATATGGCAATAGTTTTATTATTATTTTTTTTAGTATTAGTATTGTTATTATAGTAGTAGTAGTTTTAGTAGTAGTATTTATTTATCATTCCTAAGATTTCCCTTTTATCTCCCCTCAAATCTTTCTTTTCCATTAGCTATACATGAATGACCCCACTAATAACATACCTGATATACTTTATATACCAGGTCAGTATACCCCCTGATATACACCAGGACAGTATACCCCCTGATATACACCAGGACAGTATACCCCCTGATATACACCAGGAGAGTATACCCCCTGATTTACACCAGGTCAGTATACCCCCTGATATACACCAGGTCAGTATACCCCCTGATATACACCAGGTCAGTATACCCCCTGATATACACCAGGACAGTATACCCCCTGATATACACCAGGACAGTATACCCCCTGATATACACCAGGTCAGTATACCCCCTGATATACACCAGGACAGTATACCCCCTGATATACACCAGGACAGTATACCCCCTGATATACACCAGGACAGTATACCCCCTGATATACACCAGGAGTATACCCCCTGATATACACCAGTAGTATACCCCCTGATATACACCAGGACAGTATACCCCCTGATATACACCAGGACAGTATACCCCCTGATATACACCAGGACAGTATACCCCCTGATATACACCAGGACAGTATACCCCCTGATATACACCAGGACAGTATACCCCCTGATATACACCAGGACAGTATACCCCCTGATATACACCAGGACAGTATACCCCCTGATATACACCAGGACAGTATACCCCCTGATATACACCAGGACAGTATACCCCCTGATATACACAGGACAGTATCCCCTGATATGCACCGGGACGGTATGCCCTGATATACACCAGGACGGTATACTGATATGCACCAGCAGGACATTATGCCCTGATATACGCAGGACGGTATACTGATATGCACCAGGACAGTATCTGATGTACACCCAGGACGGGTATGCCCTGATATACGCAGGACAGTATGCCCTGATATACACCAGGGACAGTATGCCCTGATATGCACCAGGTCAGTATGCCCTGATATGCACCAGGACAGTATACCCTGATGTACGCAGGACAGTATGCCCTGATATACACCAGGACAGTATGCCCTGATGATAGCACCGGGTCAGTATACTGATACGCAGGTCAGTATGCCCCCTGATATGCACCGGGTCAGTATGCCCTGATATACACCGGGTCAGTATGCCCTGATGATATGCACCAGGACAGTATACTGATATACACCAGGACAGTATGCCCCTGATATGCACCAGGTCGGTATGCCCTGATATACCGGACGGTATACTGATATGCACCAGGTCGGTATGCCCTGATATACACCAGGTCGGTATACTGATATGCACCGGGACGGTATACTGGGCGCATACGCAGGTCGGTATGCCCTGATATGCACCGGTCAGTATGCCCCTGATATGCACCAGGACAGTATACTGATATGCACCAGGACAGTATACCCTGATGTACACCGGGTCAGTATGCCCTGATATACACCAGGACAGTATGCCTGATATACACCAGGTGATACTGATATACACCAGGACAGTATACCCCCTGATATACACCAGGACAGTATACCCCCTGATATACACCAGGACAGTATACCCCCTGATATACACCAGGACAGTATACCCCCTGATATACACCAGGACAGTATACCCCCTGATATACACCAGGACAGTATACCCCCTGATATACACCAGGTCAGTATCCCCTATAGGCAGCCTCCTATAGTACCAGTGATGTTATTTTGTATATCTGTTGAGGTGTTGTTTGTGTTGCAGCAGCGTACCAGCCAGCCCCCGGGAGCACGTACACGGTGCGGCCAACCAACAACTATGTCAGGCAGGGCCTCAAGGTGAGTCAGCCGTTCATGATGATGATGATGATAATCATCATCATCTTTAACATCTCTTATCATCTTCATCATCATCATTATCTTTAACATCTTTATCATCATCATCATCATCATCATCATCATCATCATCTTTTACATCTTTATCATCATCATCATCATCATCATCATCATCATCATCATCAGCTTTAACATCTTTATCATCATCATCATCATCATCATCATCATCATCATCATCATCATCATCATATTCATCATCATCATCATTTTTAACATCATCATCATCATCATCATCATCATATTCATCATCATCATCATCATCTTAATCATCATCATCATCATCATCATCTTTAACATCATCATCATCATATTCATCATCATCATCATCATCATCATCATCTTTAACATCATCATCATCATCATCATCATCATCATCATCATTATTAGTAGTAGTAGTAGTAGTAGTAGGATATTAGGATTTATTTGATATTAAGGTAATTAAATGGTGGCGAAGGTGTGGCTATTGGGGGAGGCTGGAGGCCACGTTAAAAAAAAAAGTAGTAGTAGTAGTAGTAGTAATAGTATTAGCTTATATTAACCCAATTCTTGATAAAGGCTTATATTATGCCGTAAGTTTCATAATCCTCTTATCATTAGAGGGAGAGAGAGAGAGAGAAGGAATCAGTGTCAAATAGAAAGATAATTAAACAAGACAGACTATCATAACTAATTAAACTCTTCCTTAACAACTTACAAACTCTACTTACGTACAGGTTGGCTGCTTCTTACGTCAAACACTTAATCTCAATAAGCTTCTAAACAACGAACATCAAGTTTTTTAATCACTTATGAAAACCTTTCCCTCCACATTGTGAATTGCCTTTGAAAAAAAAAAATAATAATTTCTTTTAAGATTCACGTTAGAAGTTTATTTTACCTGGAGTCAATTTTTTTAGAACTTGTGATTTTATTTATTTTTTAATTTATTAGTAATATATTTATATTATTTAATTCATTTTTGAAGTGGAAATGGATATTGCTATTTAAGGTGAAGAAGATAATAGGTGTTAAGCCTGTGACGCTAATGAGGAGAAAACTTCTTTGTTGAATCGTTGATCCATGCAGCTCTTAGAGAGAGAAAGCTGAATCATTCAGAATACAAATCATATTCCTTTTGGGAAACACCCATGGTCTGGCGTGTTTCTCTTGTCTTTCACACCTACAAGAGCTCTCTAATCTCCCCATAGTGCTCTTCCCCATAGTGCTTTAACCGCCATCTCCCAAAGGACTAGCACTCAATTTCCTTTGCCTCTCTAGCACAACTCTAATCTCTACCACCCATATCTCCCCCACAACTCTAATCTCTACCAATCTCCCCCAAACTCTAATCTCTCTCATCCCCCACGACTCTAATCTCTACCTCTCATCCCCCAACGACTCTAATCTCTACCTCTCATCCCCCACGACTTTAATCTCTACCTCTCATCCCCCAACGACTCTAATCTCTACCTCTCATCCCCACGACTTAATCTCTACCTCTCATCCCCCAACGACTCTAATATCTACCTCTCATCCCCCCACGACTCTAACTCTAATCTCTACCTCTCATCCCCCAACTTCTATCTCTACCTCTCTGTCCCCCACGACTCTAATTTCTACCTCTCATCCCCCCCACGACGCTAATCTCTACTCTCATCCCCCACGACTCTAATCTCTACCTTTCATCCCCCCACGACTCTAATCTCTACCTCTCATCCCCAACGACTCTAATCTCTATCTCTCATCCCCCACGACCTAATCTCTACCTTTCATCCTCCCCACGACTCTAATCTCTACCTCATCCCCAACGACTCTAATCTCTACCTCTCATCCCCCACGACTCTAATCTCTACCTCTCATCCCCAACGACTCTAATCTCTACCTCTCATCCCCACGACTCTAATCTCTACCTCTCATTCCCCACGACTCTAATCTCTACCTCTCCATCCCCACGACTCGAATCTCACCTCTCATCCCCCACGACTCTAATCTCTACCTCTCATCCCCCAACGACTCTAATCTCTACCTCTCATCCCCACGACTCTAATCTCTACCTTTCATCCCCCGACTCTAATCTCTACTCTCATCTCTAATCTCTACCTCTCAACGACTCTAATCTCTACCTCTCATCCCCAACGACTCTAATCTCTACCTCATCCCCCACGACTCTAATCTCTACCTCTCATCCCCAACGACTCTTAATCTCTACCTCTCATCCCCCACGACTCTAATCTCTACCTCTCATTCCCCACGACTTAATCTCTACCTCTCATCCCCCACGACTCTTAATCTCTACCTCTCATCCCCCACGACTCTAATCTCTATCTCATCCCCCACGACTCTAATCTCTATCCCATCCCCCACGACTCTAATCTCTACCTCTCATCCCCACACGACTCTAATCTCTACTCTCATCCCCACGACTCTAATCTCTACCTCTCATCCCCACGACATCCCCAATCTCTTCTACCTTTCATCCCCCACGACTCTAATCTCTACCTCATCTCCCCACGACTCTAATCTCTACCTTTCATCCCCCACGACTCTAATCTTTACCTCTCATCTCCCCACGACTCTAACCTCTACCTTTCATCCCCCTGACTCTAATCTCTCACCTTTCATCCCCACGACTCTAATCTCCACCTCTCATCCCCACGACTCTAACCTCTACCTCTCATCCCCCCGACTCGAACCTCTACCTTTCATCCCCACGACTCTAATCTCTACCTCTCATCCCCCCACGACTCTAATCTCTACCTTTCATCCCCCGACTTAATCTCTACCTTTCATCCCCCAACGACTCTAATCTCTACCTTTCATCCCCCAACGACTCTAATCTCTACCTCATCCCCCACGACTCTAATCTCTACCTCATCCCCCACATCTCTCTCATCCCCCCCACGACTCTAATCTCTACCTCTTATCTCTCCCCCTCAGATAGGAAGCCTCGTCGTCGGGTTTCCTCTCATAATATGTCTGGGAATCTTCGGGGGCTTCTTCCTCCTTTCGGGCATCATGGTCATGTCCGTCACCACCGACTTCAGTGATTTTAAGTCATCTTCGCTGTTTGATGACGACGATGATGATGATTTTGGTCTACCTTCAGAGCCTGGTTATGGAATAGGAATCTTTATGATGATTATTGGAAGTGAGTATTGTGGGTATTTATTATCTGATTTGGTGAGTATCAGAGTATTTTTCGTCCTAGGAAGTGAGTATTTTTTTATGTTTATGACTCATTTTAGATAGTGAGTATTTTGATATTTCTCACCTTAATTAGTGAGTATTATGGTAAATATTTCTCATTTTGGATGGTGAGTATTTTGATCAATATTTGTAATCTTAGTCAGTGAGTATTTCCATGAATATTTCTCATCTTAGACAGGGAATATTTTGAGTATTTATTCTATATGTGGATGATATATTTTCATTATTATTTATTATTCATTATTTATCATCTCTTTTCATTCTTAGATTAGTTATTTATTACATAAATCAAAATAAATTGGTGCCAGTTTCTTAAAGATGAATAAAGTTAATCTTTTAATTCATTTTTTCCAACAGCATGAAGATACATGTACAAATTTAATAATAATAATAATAATAATAATAATAATAATATTCTTATTCATATTCCTGTTCTTATTATTTTTATGATTATTATTATTATTCATTATAGTAAAATTTAGGAAGTAATTTTTGTCGTTGTTGTTGATGAAATAATTTTGCTTTGTCGACAGTTTTGCTGATTGTCGCCTGCGTGTCCGCGTGTTATTACACCCGCAAGAACTACAATGCCTTCAATAATCATGGCAACCCAGGTCGTGTCATCAACCAAAATCCCGCCCAACCGGTTACAACTTATCCCGGCCAACCAGTTACAACCTATCCCGGCCAACCAGTTACAACCTATCCCGGCCAACCAGCTACAACCTATCCCGGCCAACCAGTTACAATGTATCCCGGCCAACCAGCTGCAACCTATCCCGGCCAATCAGTTGCAACCTACCCTGCCCAACCTGCCGGAGCCCCCTATATGACTCAGCCAATGGCCTATCCTACCCCACAACAGCCAGGCCAGATGATAGTGAACTACCAGATGATACCTCCTGGACAGACACCTCCTCAAGGACCACCATCAGGCACCAGCTATCCCTCAGCATCAGCACCTATGACGGGTCCTTCGGGGGTACAGGCAGCACCACCACCTTATGGAGCACCTTCTTCAGTAGACTATGCTGGACCTCTACCCGAGAAAGGAAACCTTCAACACGGGGGAGCTCTGCCCGGTGCTCCAGAATATCAATCTCCCCCACCTTATGCCCCTGACTCAAATCCTCCCCCATATTCTCCCTAGAGCTCTGAGAGAAAGTTGATATGAGAGAGAGAGAGAAAAAAAAGAAAGGGAGAGAAAAAAAGAGGCAGATAATCTCAACATTATGTCAGTCAGTGTCGGTTTGAGTCAGTCAGTGTCAGTTTCTGTTAGCTAGTGTCAGTCAGTATCAGTTTGTGTGAGTCAGTGTTGGTCTGCTGTCAGAAAAGACTTTTATATATGCAACAAGAGAACAGTGGTGTGTTGACTGGTGTCTGTGGGTGTTAGTGTGAGAGAATGAGATAGAGAAATACAGAAAGACTGAGAGATACTCTTTATATTATGTGTTGAAATGTGTGTGAGAGAATGAGATAGAGAGATGGATACAGAAAGACTGAGAGATACTCTATATGTTATGTGAAGAAATGTGCTGAACTGTTCATAGAATTTAGTTCATGAAATAACCATGACGGTTAACTATTAAAATAAGAGGATTATTTTTCCATTTAACAGAGAGAGAGCGAGAGAGAGACTGACACACACACACAGTAGAGACTTCGCCAGATACTGTAGGAGGCCCAGCAGTACCTTAAGTCATGACACACTTTCAGATATACAATATGTGTAAAGTAAACGGTGAGACATAAATGTTTTTAGATAAGGAATTAATTAACATCTACCTCATTTAGGATTGTTCAATAGGCCTATGTTACCTTCAGTTATTATCTATTATATCTGTTATAGGCCTATTATATCATATATTATAGGCTTGTTATACTATCTATTATAGGCCTAGTATACCATCAGTTATACACTCGTGTCTTCCTATAGGTAAAGGTCATCATTGTTCCAGGTATTGTTCATAATGTTTGTTTTTGCCTTAAAGTGTTCTGTTGTAAGACTATTGTGTTGAGACAGTCTACTGCTGTAATAATATTAGAAATAAATATGAAATTAAATTAGGAATCAGAGTAGCGTACTTCTGTGTGTGTGTATCTGTCTATGTGTATACATATGTTTAGTTGTATATGTACATGTGTGTGTGTGTGTGTGTGTGTGTGTCCATTAGGATATTCATTTCCTTATGGTGCATGCATAAAACACACACACACTTTCTTTCTCTCTCCCTCTAAAGTTGTTGACATAGAGTTAAATTTCGATGGAGTCTATTTTTTCAGATAAACATTTTCTGAAACTACCTAACACGCCCTAACACGCCCCCTAACACTCTTTGACACGCCCTAACACGCCCCCTAACACTCTCTGACACGCCCTAACACGCCACCTAACATTCTAACACGTCCTAAAACACCCCCTAACACTCTCTGACACGCCCTAACACGCCACTTAACACTCTCTGACACGCCCTAATACGCCCCCAACACTCTGACACGCCTTAACACGCCCCTAACACTCTCCCTAACACTCCCTGACACGCCCTAACACGCCACCTAACACTCTCTGACACGCCCTAACACGCCACTTAACACACTCTGACACGCCCTAACACGCCCCCCTAACACTCTCTGACGCGCCTTAACACGCCACCTAACACTCTCTGACGCACCCTAACACGCCCCCTAACACTCTGACACTCTAACACGCCACCTAACACTTCTGACGCGCCCTAACACGCTCCCTAACACTCCATGACACGCCCTAACACGCCCCCTAACACTCTCTGGACACGCCCTAACACGCCCCCAACACACTCTGACACGCCCTAACACGCCCCCTAACACACTCTGACACGCCCTAACACGCCCCCAACACTCTCTGACGCGCCCTAACACGCCCCCTAACACACTCTGACACGCCCTAACACGCCCCCTAACACTCTCTGACACGCCCTAACACGTCCCCTAATACGTCTGACACGCCCTAACACGCCTCCTAACACTCTAACACGCCCTAACAATCCCCAACTCGACCTGACACGCTCCGGCATCCTCTGACACATACTTTGCTTACTTTAATTTTGTGTCAGGAAAAAAATGTGAAAGAGAGAGAGAGAGAGAGAGAGACAGACAGACAGACAGACAGACAGACAGACAGACATAAACTGTTCAGTAAAGAAATGAATATATTTTCATAATATAACTTATGCCAAGTGAGGGCACATGTCCTGGTGCCAACAATGTCCTCTTGTTCCAAACATTACATTGAAGACATGGTGGGCACATGTCATACCACTTGTCAGGTTAGAACGTTACATGACACTCCTTGGTGCTCTTGTCATTGGCGATAAGTTTCTGTCATTGGCGATAAGTTTGTCATTGCTGATAAGTTTCTCTCATTGGCGATAAGGTTATGTCACTGGTGATAAGTTTCTGTCATTGACGATAAGTTTCTGTCATTGACGATAAGTTTCTGTCATTGAATATAAGGTTATGTCATTGGCGATTAGTGTCTGCCATTGGCCATGAGTCTGTAATTGGCGATAAGTTTGTCATTGGCGAATAAATGTTTTTCATTGTGTATTACATTTCATTATATTCCTCCACCTACATTATACCTCACCTGTACCTGGACAGACCTGTCACCACCTGTACCTGGACACACCTGTCACCACCTGTACCTGGACACACCTGTCACCACCTGTACCTTGACACCTGTCACCACCTGTACCTGGACACACCTGTCACTACCTGCACCTGCACACACCTGTCACCACCTGTACCTGGACACACCTGTCACCACCTGTACCTGGACACACCTGTCACCCTGTACCTGGACACACCTGTCACCACCTGTACCTGTACACACTGTCACCACCATCACCACCTGTACCTGGACACACCTGTCACTACCTGCACCTGCACACACCTGTCACCACCTGTACCTGGACACACCTGTCACCACCTGTACCTGGACACACCCGTCACCACCTGTACCTGGACACACCTGTCACTACCTGTACCTGGACACACCCGTCACCACCTGTACCTGGACACACCTGTCACTACCTGTGCCTGGACACGCCTGTCACCACCTGTATCGTATAGTATATAAGAACACTGGGTATGGTATTAGTGACAACTGTACTATTAGTCTTGGTGTTGGTTCTTTTATCATTATATTTGTCTCTAAATAATTTTCAATTAAGTTATTGTTAAAGTTTTATAGTTGTATGTTTTTTTTTTGTTGTATACCGATGCTCTTTTGTTTTGGTGGTCACGAGCTGTTCGTTCGTGGCCAAGGATTCATCAGTTAGCACACAGCCGTCACACTGTCAACAGTGACCTTCTCTACGGGAACCACCTCAATCTTTACCATTACTAAGCATCGGCGGAACCCCTTCAATTTAACCTGATGAGTATACTTCTGTTGCACTCTGTATATATCTGCCTTTTTTATTGTGTTTACTGAATTCCACATAGAGTAGAAGATAGACACTTATTTATGATCAACCTTACCTAACCAAACCTAACAAGTAGCGGTAGGATAGATAAAGTTAGATCATGATAGTTTAGGTTAGGTTAATGCTACGATAGTTAACTCTGAAATTAAATAAACTAGCAGGTTAATCTTCATGTGATCCCTTATATCCCTATAAGTACAACTGATAATAAATAATAATAATAATTAACGGTTTACTGAAGAGCATGGCAGCAGGAAGGCTGAAAATATACAGTTACATAATTGGGAAATGGGTCACTTGATTGACAAATAATATACAAGTAACATAAGTGATACAAATATGATATACCCTGTATATTAACTAGATGGGGAGAAGCTCAAACTACAGGACATTTCAACATAGTGACCGTGTAAGAAGTAGGATTTACTGGGAGTGAAAACACTGGTTGATTACGAGTTGTTGATCATTTTTACAATGGTTGGGACTGGGCTGTTCTTATAGCGAACAGTACGTGCTCGTATGGGCTGGATGCGGTTGTGGTGTCGAACAGCAATTCGCGGACTGGTCATAGAGAGCCGAAAGGGTCAGTGTGTTGAGCGCTTCTTGATATGTGGAGTAGGAAGGGGAGAGAATAATCTTGCATGCTCTCCTTTGCACTTTTTCTAGGTGTTTATGTTGTGTGGCAGTTAGGGAGGAAGACTAGGCAGGGGAGGCATAGGTGAGCTTGGGAAGTATGACTGTTGAGTAAACACTAAGGAGCTCGGGCGCAGGAACTCCGAGGGACTTGAGTCGGCGGAGGAGGTGGAGACGAAAACTGGAGGATTTGACAATTTTACTGACGTGTCTTTTCCAATTTAGTTTGCTATCTATAATGACGCCGAGGAACTTAGTGGAGTCTACAACCTGGAGTGTGTTGGGGCCCAAAGTATTGGAAGGGGGTGGGACAAGGGCGGACGAGAGGTTGATGTGCATAACCATGGTCTTGGTGTGGTTGATGGTGACATGGTTGTTGGTGGCCCAATTTTGGAGACTGTTCAATGAATCCTGGGCGGCGGTGTAGTCTGGAGCCGAGTTGTTAACACTGATCCCAATGGTTGAGTCGACATATTTCCAGGGAGCAGAGGTTTCTCTTAGGGCATCATTGATAAGCATAAGGAAGCAGAGCGGTCTCATCTTGGTGCCTTGGGGGACGCCACATGTGAGTGACTGAAAAGTGGAGACAGCCCCTTGGAAGCGTACGGCTTGGCGTCGGTCACTAAGGAGGTCTGGAGCCATGGTATAAGACTTCTTTGAAACCCGAGGTCGACAGCTTTGTTGATGATTAAATTGTGGTCGACTTGGTCAAATGCTTTAATGAAGTCAATGAAGGCGACAGCCACAGACGTCTTTCGTTTTTCCAGAAGGCGGTATATGTAGTCGAGAAAGCTGACAAGTCATTGAATGGTGAAGGAAGTTTTCATATCCCCAAATTGTTGAGGATCCATGGCGCCTGCAATATATATATATATATATATATATATATATATATATATATATATATATATATATATATATATATATATATATATATATATATATATATATATATATATATAAGTAAATCACTGTAGGTGCAAGTGTGATCCATGTATATGCTCGGGAATCTCTGTGTTTTTGTTTCTTGCGGTTATTTACATAGCAGTATATATATATATATATATATATATATATATATATATATATATATATATATATATATATATATATATATATATATATTCCTGTGGTTCTAAATCTTACATCTCCATAATAGTTTCGTCCCTACACACATATAAACCAAACAGCAGTAAATCACGCACACACGAGACTCGACTAAAATTCACTCTGGACCAGAGAAACAAACACCGGCTGTGTTTTTATGGTGTGTGTGTGTGTTTGTGTGTGTGTGTGTTTACTAGCACTCTGGGAGACCCCAGAGCCAACCCGGGTATAGTTCCCAGAAGCTACCCCGGGTTATATTCTGGGCCTCCCAATGTGTACTACCACACAATGTCTCCAGTCCCTGGGGAAATTCCACTACCTTAAGAATACAAGAGAATGTTACTATTTGGAGTAATGATGTAACTTGTAAATATAATATATTTTTAATTAAAAATACTGTGGAATGGCAATTCTTGACTACTATACTCAGGTATGTTCTACCTAAAATTTAGTGGAATGTATATATGTGTAGAAAAGGGATTTGTATGATCTACTTAAAATTTAGTGGGATGTATACAGTATATATAGAAAAAAATGTACACATTTTAACAGTATTCTAATTATTTCTTTGCAAAGATAGACAGGTATCAATGCACAAGCTTAAAATACTACGGAATGATAATATTTGTGGATATGCATTTTTTTTTTACTTTGCAAACGTTTTCTTGTGGCTATGACTGAACTGCGAGTATAATGTTAAAATGATCAGTTGTATTGGTGAGATAGCGGGCGTGATCTGATAGTGTCTCAACGTAAATGGTGCTGGATAGACTAGCCACTTAAAGGAAGGGCCAGATTAGACATAAACAACAATGTCAATACCCAACAAGCTAGCAGTAGCCATACTCTCTGCATCTGTAGCCCATGTGGCACTAGCCTTCGTATTGCTGCTGTTAAAATAGTTCATGGTGTCTTGATAGGTAGTCCTGTAATTTATCACTGATGGTACCACTCCAATGTTGGACGAGATCTAAGTGAGAGATTTCTGATCCTGTCAGAAAGTGGCTGATTGCAGGAATATAGCAGTTTCCATCACCTTTGGTGCTGTAGACTCGCCTTGGTTCACTGAGTTGCATGGACCTCCCGAAGTAGACAGGTTTCTTACCCTGAGCCCAAGGTCAGCTGCCGGTTTGCACCGAGTAGCCGCAGAAAGTGGTTTGAATAATGTGGTTGGTGTTCTGCTTTGCTTCTTCTGTGGAAGATCTTCGCCGTCTGACTCCCACTTGCTTTTCCTGTGGATATTATTGCAGGGATTGTTACAGGCGGAATCGAAACTAGTACTAGGAAGGTCAGCATTGAAAGTCCCAAGACCAGAAGAGAATTTTACAATGACAGGGTCGGAGCTGACAAAATCTGTTGGTTGACAGTTGTCTGAATGATCCGAACTGCCAGTATGAGTGCGATCTGTATCCTGAGGGTCACCTGCGTAGATCTGTAGGAAGATGAAAGCATTGTCAAGTTGTAGGAGACATATCAAATATAAGGAGAGTTAGAAATATAGTTAAGTCAGCAATTCACACACCAATAATGTTGCTAGAACTTTTTAGAAGTACAGTAAATTTAATCAATCTGTATATCAGTTATAGTTAGAAATAGGACACTGATAGTCGTAACTGTTTATGGGAGTGGGCAGCTGTACAGTATTTGCAATAACTGTCATGCAGGAAATTATATGGTACATATTGGTATCTTGATACAGGATCTGTGAAAGATGTTCTTCAGCTTATGTCCAATCATCAGGTTCTTCAGACGGGCTCGTTCCTTGTCTAGACCTTCAACAACTTCATCCCGTACAATGTATTTTGCGGTTGGTCTTTGCATAAACCCTTGCACCTACAGTAACTGATTCATGACTGGTGTGTCTCTTGTCGTACGTTTCCTTCTGTGCTGCTTTTGTTGTTGAGATGTTTTCGGCCACTTGACAGATAAACTTGCTTTTTCTATCCATCTTCTCATTGACGAATTCCACACTAGCATAATCCAAATTTTCAAAGTCGGCGGCTGCAGACTACACATCAATAGGTAACTTGACCTTCCTTCTATACATGGCTTCAAAGGGACTTACTTTCGTGGACGCGTGTATAGTACTTACGGTTGTGTGATATGCTAGCAAAACCCAAGGAATCAGATCACCCCAATTACCATGGTTATCATTGACAATCTTGGTCAAGGAGCTCATTAAGGTGCGGTTATCACATTCTCGTTGACCATTGGTCTATGGATGGTACGGGGATGAAATTCGATGCTCTACTTGTAGTTTATCCAACAGTGTTGCTGAAACTTTAATTACAAATTCTCTACCTTGCTCAGTTATCAGGGCATCCATAAAACCATGCCTGTAGAGGCATATCAAAGAAGAAAAAACAATGAAAATAGA